ATTATTTTTATTTTTATTTTTTCTAACAAGTATTTTCATTTCTATGTGTTGCATGCTTGTGCATCCTTAGTCTAGCCAAAGTTTAATTTAAAACAAAGGCAAGGAGGAAAACATTACCTGTGCATTTATTTTTAACAACACTTTAAGCTAAACTGCAGCAGCACGAGCATGCAACACATAGAAATAAAAAGACTTGTTGGACAAAATTGTAAAAATAATTCAATTTAAGCATTCAAGAGACAAATGCATGCACAAGTAAAAGGAAAAACTATGTAAAATACATATTAAAAAACATTAAAATTTAAGTTGTGTGTTAAACCTAAGCTGGAAAAATAAATATGAAAGTCAATTAAAATATATAACATGAGGTAAAGTTCTCTTTTTTCATTTATTTGGTGCATTTTAAATGTATTTGTTTATTTAAAAGGGTCATTTGTCTATTTCTGCTTTTATTTCTAATTATGTCAGTGTCGGTCCTCCATACTGCTGGACTCAGAAGAGGTAGTTCAGTGGCTGAATCAGGTGTGTTGGAGCAGGGAAAAATGTTAAAACATGTAGGGCTGCGGCCCTCCAGGACCATGATTGCCCACCCCTGGTCTAGGAGAATCTGGGCCCAGTGGAACATGAGTGAAGAGAGGAAGCCCACCTGGGTGGTCGAAGTTGTACTGACCCCTGAGTGCCTTGGCCTTCTGGTCTGGGGTCAGGACCTTGTAGAAGCTGTCCTGACTGAGGATGACCACTTGGCGCTGGTGGTGGTCGATCTCATTCTGACCCAGCAGCTCCATGATCTTGTTGCACACCGATGACTGGTCACATGTGAACACATTAATGGTACAATCACATTCAGGACATTTACTTTTGGCCAACTGCACAAAACAAAACAACTAGTATTGTAAAGACCACCTAACAAAAGACCAAGTCAAGACCACAGTGTCTCGAGACCGAGACAAGACCAAGACTTTTAGGGTTTGGACCAAGTCGAGACCAAGACCAAGGGAGGGCGAGACCGAGACAAGACCAAGACTTTTAGGGTTTGGACCAAGTCGAGACCAAGACCAAGGGAGGGCGAGACCGAGACAAGACCAAGACTTTTAGGGTTTGGACCAAGTCGAGACCAAGACCAAGGGAGGGCGAGACCGAGACAAGACCAAGACTTTTAGAGTTTGGACCAAGTCGAGACCAAGACCAGGAATAAAAACAAGGAAAATACAAACAAGTGTCCTAAAAGATTGAGTATTCTTTATATATGTACAGAGAGGGGGAAAAGTATTTAGTCAGCTAATTGTGTAAGTTCTCCCATTTACAAACCCAATGAAAGCAAGAATGTTAACTAATAAATTGGACAACATTCTGGCTGTTTAGTCATATTTCCACAGTTGTGGTCTTGACTGGTCTTGAAATAAAATTCTGAGTCCTCAATGTCCGAGACAAGACCAAGACCATCAAAAAGTGGTCTTGAGACCGGTCTTAAGACCAAGACCGGTTTCAAGTACTACAACACTAAGAACAACAAAAAAATACTTATTTAATTTAATTTATACCTTTATTTAACCAGGTGATCACATGTCTCTGTAGCAATAAACATAATAAAGCAGTCTCTGAGAATATATAACTTAATGTTTTATTTAATTTTTGTTAGGTTTTTGAATTCTATGATTAATATAATTTCAATAAGTGCTCAAATACAATTCAGAGAAAAATAATTGAATTAACAATAAACCATTAAATATCTTGGGTTACTGCAGTGATGTAAACGTTGCAGGTTTTGCCTCAGTGTTTTTGTATGTTTTGACAGATGTGCTCACACTCAGACGCGTATACACAACAAAAAGCTGCAGTTTGCCTCGTTCTGATAAGATCCTGGGAAAGCAGGTGTTTCTGCAGGCGGTTGCTCTGCTTGGACAACTGGGGCCTGGTTTCAGGAAGCAGGAACCACAAACAGCAGGCTGCTGGGCCACAACTTTATCTGTGCCGACTGAACGTTTCAGATCGACTCCTCGCTGTTACCAAGTCTGCAAAGCAGCTGCAACACAACATGCATCTGACTGCAAACATCATCAAGTGTCATATAACTGACTGTCAAATGAAAATATGGACTAGAACTGTAAGATGGTGTGAAATAAACAGATACACAACAGTTTAATCTAATAAAGATAAAATATAAATTAAAACTTCCAGCATTCCTTACAGCAAAACACAGTGATGGACAAAAATGCAACAGTAACTGTTGAGCATTATTGTATATTGTATGTACTTCCTGTCACTTTTGCTTCCCAAGCAATCAATCAATAAAGTTACATCATATCTAATCTAATCTAATCTAATCTAATCTAATCTAATCTAATCTCCATTATTATTCATGCTTTTAAACTCATCTTGAGAAATGACAGAAATGTTGATCAAACATTGAAATAAATCCAATTCTCTGCAAAATTTGAATGTCTGCTCAAAGTGTCAGCTGCCAAACTCAGATTTTCTTTATTTGTGTAAAACTGACTGGATTGCAGCTTAATCAGGTTGGTTTCATATAAACACAAGGATTATTTTCTAATATTTTCATGATAATCCAACAATTGGTTGTTGAGATTTTTCTTTACTAAAACACAAGGATAAACTATTATTGTCTTAAGACAAAAACAGTCGGAACTAATGTTTGTTTTAATGAATTTTGTTATGATTTGTTGCTGATCCATCAGTTAGTCCTGCAGCTGATGCTGATTAGTTTTAATGACACTCAGTTTTCTGTCATGTTTAAGATTTCCTCACACACTCACTTTATAATCTCAGTTTACAAAAAGAGACACAGCCTCAAGCCAAACATTTAGTCCCGGACAGTTGTAAAAATTAATATTTACATAAACGAACAGAAAACGACCTTCAGCTCACATCTTTATAAAACTTTTGAGAAGGTTTGAGACAACGGGGACAGAGGTCCAACCTTGCCGCTGGCTGTCCCACCGGCCACACCGATGATGAAGGGCGTCCGGGTCTCGTCTCGGTCCCCGTTCCGGTCCTGGTCCCCCTCATCACCGGCCGTCTCACCGTCGCCCGTCATGCTTCACGCGCAGGTAGAAGCGGACTGGGCCGCCGCGCGCGGCTCCTCCCATTTCAGGACGGGTCAGGTGAGGAGTGTGACGTCACGCGAGGATGAGGATGATCACACTTTGTGCAGACCGTAAAGACAAGATCTCTGATAGCCTCATTTTTATGGAAGCCCATTTCCGCCACCCTGATAAAAAAAATTAATAAAACTTGTATCTCATAATTATGACTTAGCTATCTCATAATTATGAGATAATATCTCATAATAATGAGATACTATCTCATAATTATGAGATACTATCTCATAATAATGAGATACTATCTCATAATTATGAGATACTATCTCATAATAATGAGATACTATCTCATAATTAT